ACTTAACACATTATCCATAAATTACCAATAAGCAATTACAATGCACAATTATTACAAAAAACAACCGTACCCAATCTTCATGGACATGGTGGTTGTGAGAGTGGTACAGCATTTCTGAGTTCTCAAATAAAATGCTGTGTCCAGGCTGGTTCACCAGGTGCTCTGCTATGGCTGATTTCTCTGGTTGGCGTAGTTTGCAGTGCCTTTCATGTTACTTGATTCGTGTCTGGGCAAAGCTGCTGCGTTTGGTGGTCCCTATGTAGAGTTCTTGTCCACAGCTGCATGGTATACGGTAGACTCCTGCAGAGGTGAGAGGATCCCTCTTGTCCTTTGCTGAACGGAGCATTTGTTGGATTTTCTTGGTGGGTTTGGAGATAGTTTGTATGTTGTGTTTCCTCATCAGCTTCCCTCTGCGGAAGGCTGATGAGGAAACAAACAAGGACATCTAATCACATCTCAACACATCATGAAAGCCTTCAACAATACAGAGGAGAAACAATCAGGCACATCTAATCACCTCTCAACAAAAGTTTGCTCTAGGCACTGTCAGGCTATCAAATGCTAATTAAGGTGGTCAGTTGAAACATTCACACCTAGCTCCAGGAGACAAGAGTCCTTTGTCCCACCCTGGTCATTCCACAGATATATAAACCCTTTTTTCCTAGTTCCAACAGACCTCACTACCTGTGAGAATGCTTGCCATAGATGCAGGCGAAACGTCAGGAGAGAATGCCTCTAGAACATGGTCATATAGCCCGAAAAAACCTACAACAACCCAAAGTATTACAATGTATTTGTTGTCTTCTATACAACCATTAAAGGAACCCTCTCCAGTTTTCCATTTGTCAATCCTGCTCAGAAGGAAACATCAAACTACAAACAGAATGGATGGTCCACGGAAGACTCCTGCAGAGGTGAGAGGGTCCCTCTTGTCCTTTGCTGAACGGAGCATTTGTTGGATTTTCTTGGTGGGTCTGGAGATAGTTTGTATGTTGTGTTTCCTCATCAGCTTCCCTCTGCGGTCAGTGGTTCCCTTGATGTCTGACAGGAACACTTTCCCTCTGGGTGGATCTTTTTGCCTCATTATGCCAGCAGACAAGGGGAATGCCACAGTAATCATGCATACAGAACAATACAAGGAGAAGATGTTTATTACTGTTAAATTGTTTAATTTGTTTCTGTGTTAATTGTTTTTAAGTATCTTGTTGATGCCGCATTGAATTTTTGCCTTGATTGTTTGCCTTGCTCTTGCTTGATTGTTGTAAACCGCTATGAGTCGCCTTAGGGCTGACAATAGCGGTATACAAATGAAGTAAATAAATAAATAATAAATAAATAAGATCAGAAAACTCCTGGACTCTACTATATACAAAAAACTCAAGCAAGACCCAACTTCCAAAATAACCAGGAAAACCAACACATGACCTTGGAGGTGTCTATGGACAACGCCGGCTCTTCGGCTTAGAAATAGAGATGAGGACTGTAAAGATCCCTTACCTTGCCATCCAGGGTGGCAGGGCCCCAGGAGAAAGTCAGGCTAGGTAGTTTAGCATGGAAGGCCTGGCAGAGTGCTGCTGGAGCCATTTTAGAGTAGGGAAAAGCTCCAGGACAGAAGGGGGAGTGGCTGAGGCCTGTGCCAGCCCAGCAACAGCTAGGATTGGTTTAGAGAATAGGGGCGGAGTTAGGCAGAAGGAGGGAAAGAGAATAGTGAGATTTGACAGTTTTAGAGTTAGTTCAGCTGAGTTCTGAGAAGAGTAGAGAGCAGTTTGAGTTCTGAGAGAGAGATTAGTGTAGAAGTTGGATTGTTTAGGAGTCTCTGTTTAAAATAGGCAGTTTGCCTTTAGTCTGTATAGCACAGTAGGCTGTGACAGACTGAGATTACAGCTACTTTTGAGCAGAAATAGCTGGGTTCTGTGTTTATTGAAACTGTAACTAAGAAAGAACATTCTCTCTAGAAACCAATACGCTTATAAGAAACAAGAACACTTTTATTCTGTAACCATCAAGTCTCAGTGCCTGCATTCTCGTGTTATTCAGTAATTGTAATCAATAAACTCTTTCTTATTATTTTTAAACTTAAAGCCTGAATCAAGTGCTATTTTTGCTTTTGAGTCCCTTTCTTTTGAAATCAACCTCTCCTGTTTTCCCCTCAGAGAAAGCCCTTGATTATATACAGCCATTGGTGGAGTAACAAGCTTTTTATTAATTTAAAAACAGCCTGATAATATTTTAAATAACTAGAGGGTTCGTGATTTCTTTAGTTTGGTGGCAGCGAAAGTTTTACACAACGTGACATCCCCTCAAATCCTACAAAAGCCTCTTTTTGAGTTATTATAATTGGTAGTGTCAGAGGTGGGATATTGATTTATCACCCATACCTCTAAAGATCCTTGATAATTGGTGGGGCAGCGGTGGGATTTGTTTGCCCCCTGCCCAGACGGCCAATTAAAGAAAGATCCTTTATAATTGGTGGGGCAGCGGTGGGATTGTTTGGCCCTGCCCAGACGGCCAAATTAAAGAAGGAAGTCCTTTATAAGGACCACACCCCAGAGTCAGACATCACTGGACTTAATGTCAGGGGACTACCTTTACCTTTACCTAATAGCAGAAAACTCCTTCAAGTGCAAAAGACAAAGAGGGAATGCTGTAAAAGTACAATGCAGGGCAGAAGAGAAAACTGGCCAAAGAAGAGCCAAATTGACAAGGAATAAACATGGCTGTGGCTCACCAATGGGACTTTGGAAAAAGAAATGGAGGGCCTGATTCTTGCAGCCCAAGCACAAGCCATTAGAACCAAGGCTATCAAAGCCAGAATTGAATAGTCAATGACAAATTCCAAGTGTAGACTCTGTAAGGAAGCAGGCAAAACGATGGATCTCATCCTCAGCTGCTGAAAGAAGATCGCGCAGACAGACTATAAGCAGAGGCATAACATCGTTGCTCAGATGATCCATTGGAACTTGTGCCACAAACACCATCTGCCTGCAACAAAGAACTGGTGGGAAAAACACGTCAAATTAATTGCTCCAACTGCAAAGACTGCGACACAAGCCAGTCAAGGGGGTCCCAGTGGTGATTGGCAGACTGGATGCACTGCCTCAAGATTTTGGCCTGCACTTAAAAACAATCAGCGCTGACAAAATTACCACCTGCCAGCTGCAGAAGGCCACCTTACTGGGATCTGCGCGCATTGTTCACTGATACATCACACAGTCCTAGACACTTGGGAAGTGTCCGACGTGTGATCAAATACAAAAGCCAGCAGAGTGATCTTGTTTACTGTGTACCGTCACCTCACGATACCTGCCTGTGACTTGATGTACATGTTTTGATATATTTTTCACCCCTTGGAGTTTGCTGGACTTCTTTTTAAACTAATATGATTGAAGGAAGAGAAAGAATAACAAAGGGACCTAAATCTGCATTTCCCTTTTTCTGACAGCAAAGAACACCTCCTCCTTTTTCTGCTTGCTCTGTGCAATCCTTTTACCAACAGGTTTAATATCTTCATGTTTTTGTTAGGAATTTAACTTTCTCAGATTTGTTTTGCCAATATTACTGTATTTTGCCAATATTACTGTGGTTTTTTGATTGTTATTATTTCCATTGCTAGTGATTGTTGCTGTTGTTTTAATGAACTCCTGAGTTCGAGAGCAGCAGATCATGTTTTTTGTGGCTTTGTTTCCTTTTTAAGAGCGTTCTTTCCCTTTACCTCCACCACGTTTGCTTTTGAACCCACAGCAGTCAAGAGAATTTCCCTCCTTTTGGCTCCCTCTTACTTTGGACAATTGCAAACTTAGTCAGATGTCCTCATTAGAGAGAAGTGGGAACTTTGGACAGATGACGCTAACAACTGATCATTTTCATCATTGGCACCAGAGGATTTTTTAACGTATTTTGATGCACTAAATGTTTGGGGATGTATTGCATGTGACAGACCAGAAGGCGGTGGTGGAAATTCTTGGATGAAAAGTGGTGCAAATTGCTTGAGACATTAAAACCAATCCATTGCAAGGTGAACAGCTAGTATTTATCAAAGGTTGAACTACAGCTAAAAAAATACTGAAAAAGCTTCAAGAGAATTTTGGTTCAAAAGAGCCAAGTCTTAGTCACGGTATATTGCAAGGTTGATTCATTTAAGTCTTGATTCCAAGCAACATTATGAAGCATATATCATCTCTATAAATAAAAATGTAATGTTCGTTTGTGGGATTGACATAACTCAATAACCACTGGGTGAATTGACACCAAATTTGGACACTACACCCCTAACAAACCAATGAGCGACCACCCCTACACCCCCCCCCCCCCCCTCCCCCCCCCCCCCCGCACACCAACTCCCGCCCATCCCCCGCCCCCCCCCAGTATATATGCCGCCACACCGCCCTCACCTCCCCCTAGGGACACCCCCCCCCCCTTGTCTATGATGCAGACATCACATCCCTGCAGTGATCCCAGTTGGCTTGGTTCCCAGCCAATCAAGGGAAGGCACAGGATATCCGACTAGCTGCCAAAATGTATAAAATGCCTTGTATTTTATTGTAAAGGCGTGCTTTGTGTCCCTTTTGGTCAAATTGTAATAACCCTCTGTAGTTTGCCTTCAAACCTAGAATGCTTTGCTCTATGTTCTGGCTGATCGGGTTTAGCGGAAGCTCACCGGGCACATACCCTCTAACCGCAGTCCTAGCTGAAATGACTACACTTGGGTCCCTTGAACCCATTTGGGCTGCTCCCTTCTACCCACCCCAGCTCTGCAGCACCCATTGCAGGAGAGGTCCACACAGGGATACCCAGGCTGGCAACCAAGGAAGGGCTTTACGAAGACTAGGACTCCCACAAAATGGGAGGGGGGGGCATTTTGTTCAAGAGAGACAAGAAAACAAGAGTCCACACAACTTGCAGCAAGAAAACCTTTATTAAAGCAAGGCCATACAGACATTGGGGATGCCTAGGAAGCATACCCCCCCCCCCAAAACCACCCAATCTCTTGTGTTGGGATCTACTCCACCCCTTTTGGGGGAGCCTCTCTTTGGGGAGGGGTCTCTCCGGCATCCAGGATCAGTTGACCACCTTGATGAGCTCGAAGGCCTTGACATCCGTGAATTTGTCACAGGAGAAGACGGTCAACAGCTGCTTGGTGCCCTTCTTCTTGGGGGTGACCTCGAAGGAGACACGGACAGTCTCTTTGGCCTTCACTGGTGGGACCCTGGGCGGGGGGAAAGGAGCGGGGTTAGCGGAGGAAGGCCGCTGGGGGAGAGCCACTGCTGAGCCCTTCATGGCAAATGCCTGGGGAAAGTGTTCGGGCAGGTCAAAAAGAGTTGGGGAGTGTATTAACTGAAAAGGCAAAGCATAAACGGTTCTGGCCCAACTTACCTGTCCGAACGTATCTCCCCTTACGAACCACGGAGGACTTTAAGATCATCTGGGGAGGCCCTGCTCTCGGTCCTGCCTTCGTCACAAGCACGTTTGGCAGGGACGAGAGACAGGGCCTTCTCAGTGGTGGCCCCTCAGCTATGGAACGCCCTTCCCTAGGCAGGTCAGATCTGCTCCCTCCCTCTTGACGTTTCGGAGGCAAGTTAAACGTGGCTATTCGAGTAAGAATTTACAAATACAGAGTAGCTAATATAGGAAATCGAACGACCTGACAGTGGAACTGGACAGTGCTTGAGAATAATGAGACGCTGATGAGGTTGCTTTTATTGCTTTTGGATGTCTTATACTGTTTAATGTTTTTTATCTATTATGTTTTATGTATACTGATTTGTTGGAAAACGTCCTTGAGTCGCCAATTGGCTGAGAAAGGCGGTATACAAATACAGTAAATAAATTAATAAACCTGATTGGTTGAGCCATGCCCAAGAGGCTAGCTGAGCCTGGGAGTTTGGGCAACAGTTACATGTTTAGGCTTTAGCAGTGCAGGAGTTCAGAGAGGGAAAGACAGTTCTTGCTTCATGAGCTCCTGGAAGAAGGTCTTCCACATGGACACCTAAAGACCATTTGAATCTCTCTCGAAAGGACATTGTGTGAGTCAATGCAACTGTTCGTACGACTATATATATGTAAGTTTTCTATTCTTTTCTGATCATCTGCGTGGCTGATCTTTTCTCTGGCAAGACAGTGTGTGGTCTGGCAAAACGTGAACTGCGCATGATTTTCATTCCGCCATAGAAAGCGCTCCTTAGCGCAGCAACCAAGGCAGTGGGCTCAGCCCTTTCATTGGGGAAGGGGGAAGCCTCCTTCCTCCTGCCCCAGAGACTAGGCTCTAATGGGGCCACGGAGTCACGTTGCAGAAATGGAAGATTTCACCTAAACATTAGGAAAACCTTCCTGATGGTGAGGATTAGGCATGGGCAATCCATGGTTCTAAATGGTTCTGAAGTACTTACAAAACTGGGGGCGCTGGTGCTTTGCTTCTAAAGTGTTTCTAAAGTTCCACACCTGGAATATTGTGTCCAATTCTGGGCATCACAATTCAAGAGAGATTGACAAGCTGGAATGTCTCCAGAGGAGGGCGACTAAAATGACCAAGAGTCTGGAGAACAAGCCCTATGAGGAGTGGCTTAAGGAGCTGGGCATGTTTAGCCTGAAGAAGAGAAGGCTGAGAGGAGATATGATGAGAGCCATGTATAAATATGTAAGGGGAAGTCCTAGGGAGGAGGGAGCAGGCTTGTTTTCTGCTTCCCTGGAGACTAGGACGCAAAGGAGCAATGGCTTCAAACTACAAGAGAGGAGATTCCATTTGAACATGAGGAAGAACTTCCTGACTGTGAGAGCTGTTCAGCAGTGGAACTCTCTGCCCCGGAGTGTGGTGGAGGCTCCTTCTTTGGAAGCTTTTAAACAGAGGCTGGATGGCCATCTGTCAGGGGTGATTTGAATGCAATGTTCCTGCTTCTTGGCGGGGGGTTGGACTGGATGGCCCATGAGGTCTCTTCCAACTCTTGGATTCTATGATTCTGGTGGTGAAAATTTCAGAACTCAAACAAAACATTCAAAATGTTGTTATAAATAGCAGTTCCTAATTGGTTCTGTCTTAAAAACCACCAATAACGAAGAAATAATGAAATTTTGAAAGTTTTCTTGGATTTCTGAAATTTTCACCACCAGAACTTTTGCAACACTTTAGAAGCAAAGCACCAGCTTTAGAAACACTTTAGAAGCGAAGCACCAGCACCCCCTAGTTTTGTAAGTACTTTAGAACCATGGATTGGCCATGCCTAGTAAGGATGGTTCAGCAGATGAGTAGAGTCTTCTTCTCGAGAGGTCTTGATCAGAGCCTGCGTGTCAGTCTGTCTCTTTCCAAGCGCATGTCATTTGGGCAAAGGGGCTGTGCTCCCCCCACCACGTCATGCCCCCCTCGGGCCCTGGCCACTCACTCCTTCCTGATCTCATCCTCCAGCAGGTCATTCCCCTCGGCCACGAGCACACAAGAGGAGATCTCTTTTTCCAGTGGGTTGGTGAAGACCATCTCGACCTTCAGCGCTTCGCCCACCTTTGCGTGGCTCGGCACCTGAGTGCGAAGCAACAGCAGCAGGGAAAAAGCCTTAGGTTAAGCAGGACCACCACCGTTCATCCGTCCCACCCCACAGCCACCCCCAAGCCATGGTCCCCAAGGAAGCACAGTGGGGCAGGGGCCGTTGTGGACCTCCCTGGGTGGGACAAGTGACCATACAACCCCCAGGTTCAGGATGAGTGGTCTCCAGGGGATTTCTCAGCTTGCCTTCAAGGTGATGGTGGGGTTCTCCAGGGAGACGTTGCGCAGCACCACGGTGTCGGTTCCCTCCTTAACCTGGCACAAGGCTGTCACCCGGATAATATTGTCCGTTGTCAGGTGCTGTTGGTACGCCGCGTAGGAGATCTTGATAGGAAAGGCTTTCTCTGCAAGGAACAGGGGGAAGGACAGAGCAGGTGGTCAGGTCCAATCACACTCTCTGACCAAGGTCATGTGGCTGGCATGACTGCATGGAGCACCGTTACCTTCTGGCTGGAGCGATACCTATTCATCTACCCACATGTGCATGTTTTTGAACTGCTAGATTGGCAGAAGCTGAGGCTAACAGCAGGAGCTCACCCCATCCCTGGATTTGAACTGGCGACCTTTTGGTTCACAAGTTCATCAGCTCAGCGGTTTAACTCACTGTGCCACCAGGGGTTCCATATAAATATATATCTATATATATAATAAAAGAGAATGTTTGTATCGGACAGAGGAAGGAGTATGTGGCAGCGTTCTGATTGGCTGCCGCTGCGGTGCTATTTGCATATGGTCTCTGATTGGCCACCTTCAATAGGAGCCCCTGGTGGAGAAGAGGGCTCATGGCAGAAACGGGGCATGACAGAAGGAAATTTGCATATGGTCTCTGATTGGCCAGCCTCAAATCCAACATTCCGAGATGAGAAAGAGAGGAAAGGAAAGGCCGGGGCTGGGTCAGAACACTCCCAATACAGATCGAAATAGGCACACAGAGCCCCCATCACCCACTCGACATCCTACTGCAGTTTGGAGGACTATGAACCATGGATGATGGGACTTGCAGTACCACCACTCACATTCTGAGACCGCTGTTAACCTTATCCAATGACTGATCAGGACCAAACTTCGCACAGAGACCTCTCATGACCCACTTTACGTCCTGGTGTGGTTTGGCTGGGGATGGACCGTGGATTATGGGACTTGCAGTACCAATGCTCATTCTTCAGACCACTGCAACCCTCATCCAATTACCAAAAAATACCAAACTTGGCACACTGAGTCTCCATGACGCACTCTACATCCAGGTGCAGTTTGAAGGAGGATGCACCATGGACAATGGGACTTGCAATACCTGCACTCCCTTCCTAAGACCATTATAACTGCCAACAATGATGGATCAGGACCACAATTTACACAGAGAGTCCGCATAACTCACTTTATATCCTGGTGCGGTTTGGAAGAATTTGACAATGGATGATGGGACTTGCAGTCACTTCACTCACTTCCTGAGACCACTGAGACCCACGCCAATGACTCATCAAGACTAAACTAGGCACATGGAGCTTCAATGACCCACTCTACATCCTGGAGCAGTTTGGAGGACGACAGACCATGGATGATGGGACTTCAAGTACCTCCACTCCCTTCCCAAGATTGCTGCAACCCTCATCTAATGAGCGATCAAGACCAAACTTGGCACACACAGCCCCCATGACCCACCCTACATCCCGGTGCTGTTTGAAGGATGGACGATGGGTGATGGGACTTGCAGTACGTTCACTCACTTCCTGAAACCATAGCGACACTCATTCAAAAACCAATAAAGACCAAACTTGGAACATAGAGCCCCCATGGCCAACTCAACATTCTGGTGAGGTTTGGGGGAGTACAGACTATGGATGATGGGACTTCAAGTACCTCCACTCACTTCCCAAGACCTCTGCAACACTCATCTAATGACTGATCAAGTCCAAACTTGGCACACAAAACCCCCATGACCCACTCTCCATCCTGGAGCAGTTTGGAGGGGGATGGACCACAGATAATGGGACTCACAGTAACTTCACTAACTTCCTGAGACAACTGCGAGTCATATAAATAACTGATAAAGACCAACCTTGATACACAATTCCTTTCTCAAATACCCGGGCAGCGCCGGGTCCCCAAGCTAGTATATAAATAAAAATGTAATGTTCGTTTGTGGGATTAACAGAACTCAAAAACCACTGGACGAATTGACACCAAATTTGGACACAAGACACCTAACCACCCAATGTATGTCCTTCCCTCAAAAAAAATAATAATTTTGTCGTTTGGGAGTTGTAGTTACTGGGATTTATAGTTCACCTACAATCAAAGAACATTCTGAACCCCACTAATGATGGAATTGAACCAAACTTGGCACACAGTTCAAAACACTAGAAGGGTTTGGTGGGCATTGACCTTGAGTTTGGGAGTTGTAGTTCACCTACATCCAGAGAGCACTTTGGACTCAAACAATGATGGATCTGGACCAAATTTAGCATGAATATTCCATATGCCCAAATATGAACACAGATGGAGTTTGGGGGAAATAGACCTTGACATTTGGGAGTTCACCTGCAATCAAAGAGCATTCTGAACCCCACGAATAATAGAATTGGGGCAAACTTCCCACACAGAACCCTTATGACCAATAGAAAATACATACATACATATATTTATTCATTCACACATTTCTACAAAACATCAATGTATTATATACAACAGCCTTAACAGTTGCAAACATGTTCCTCTTCCATTCAGCAGGCTGTTGACATAAGTCTTCATATATACATCCTTAAAAAAAAACCATTTAACTAATTTTTTAGAATATTAAATCTGCTTATGTTGCCCACCCCTCATCCCTCCCTCTGACCATATAATTACTCTATACTGTTATCTTTTGCCATATGCACAGTTTTCTTAATTTCTGTAAGACCCTTTTAAAACCCATTCTCTCTATATATCATAACTATAAAACTTTATATCTATCCTGCCCTCTCTTCTTTCTTGGCAACGAAAATAATGTTCTGGTTGGGGGTCACCGCCACAGGAGGAACTGTATCGAGGGGTCGCGGCATTAGGAAGGCTGAGGACCTCAGTTCCCAGACCGGGTTTTGGCACTGGGTCTTGGTTTGGTCAGGACAAGCGATCAATGTCTGGGGTGCAAAGACGAAAAGAAATGGACGATGGAAAATTGGAATAGCTCTCCGTAACAGTGTTTACCTTCCTTGGGGCCGAGCGTCAGGGCGAGGGAGTCCTTCCAGACCTCGTGGATGGCCTTCCCGGTGTAGATGATGGTCCAGGCATTCATGTTGACCGTCAGGGTAGTGGCCTCAGGGGCGAGGTTGGTCAGTTGCAGGAGCAGCTCCACATCCTGGCCAACCTCGAGGTGGCTCTTGACCTCAAAGTTCCCGGTCACTCTTGGCTGGGGAGCATCCGGAAACAGGGCGGGCATGGTCAGGGCAGGCCTGGCCATGGCAGGCCTGGCTGTGGTGGGCCTGGCTATGGCAGGACTGTCCATTGCAGGATGGATCATGGCCAAACTAATCAATGTGGGTCTGGCCATGGCGGGACTGGCCGTTGGTTCAAGGTTCAGCTTGGCCCGGGCCTTGTGGAAGGTCTCCCGTTCCTCGTTGGTGCCTGAAAGGGGGAGAGCCAGGGGTCAATGCACATCAGGACCACCACCCAAATGGCGCAGAGGAGGGCCATGGGCCATCTGTTTCTATACTTGAGTCAGGGGAGTGAGCAGGGCACAGCGAAGCCTCAAAGAGAAATTGGAAGGAGCCCCCAGCCCCATTCTGCTCAATGCAGGACCTCCAGTCAAGTCAGTGTGGTTTGGCGCAATAGATGCTATCTATGCTGTCCGGTTACTCATGGAAAAACATCCAGAAAATAGGAAAACACTGCACCTTGCATTCGGAAAAGCACTTGTTCATGTTCCCCATGACCTGATCTGGCGAGTGCTGCGGTCACAAGGAACACCAGAAGACTTTGCAACATGGATAAAGCAACAATAATACAGTGGGTAGGGTCAGCTGCCCTGCAGGGATTTCACTCCGCTTCAACATCACTGTTGGTGTGCATCAGGGATCAGCACTCTCATGGACGCTACTACAGCAGACTTGCAGACTATGCATCCCTGGACATTCCTATATGCAGATGACATAGCACTTGGCCACAGCTGCAGACACGGAGTGAGAGACTCAGTGAAAATGGGCTTCAGCTTGAACAGACCTAAAACAGAGTATTTGGAATGTATCCTTCAAACTGGAAGAACTATTCAAGTCTTGCAGACTGCATCCCTGGACATTCCTATATGCAGATGACATAGCACTTGGCCACAGCTGTAGACATGGAGTGAGAGACTCAGTGGAAATGGACTTCACCTTGAACAGACCCCAAACAGAGTATTTGGAATGTGTCCTTCAAACTGGAAGAACTATTCAAGTCAATGGACAGGCACTAAAGAAGGTCACCCAGTTTAAAAACCTAGGGTCACTGGTCCCCATAGATAGCAACACAATGCCAGATGTACACTCATGAATAAATGCAGCCTGGTTAAAATGGCGGCAAAGCACTGGCATTGTGTGTGACCCAAAAAATGCCTGGACAACTCAAGGCTATGATTTGCATTGCAGTTGTTCACCCAGTAGCCCTCCCTCAATGGGGCAGAGGGCTGTCCAGCAACAAGGAAACATACACAAGCCCTTAACACACTGGAAATGAAAAGGCTGAGATGGACACTTGGCTTGAGACTTCTTGACCATGTGCCAAATCATGACATCTGTCTCGGAATAAAAGCGACCAGCAAGAAAATGCAGAAAGCAAGACTATGGTGGTACAACTACGTCATAGAACAGAAGCAACACCAGGAGCACAAACAGCACTCCATTTGGAGATTGCAGGATGGCGACCATGTAGACAATAGACATGGGCAATCCATGGTTCTAAAGTACTTACAAAACTAGGGGGTGCTGGTTCTTTGCTTCTAAAGTGTTTCTAAAGCTGGTGCTTTGCTTCTACAGTGTTGTGAAAGTTCTGGTGGTGAAAATTTCAGAAATCTAAGAAAACTTTCAAAATTTCATGATTACTTCATTTTTGGCGATTTTAATGACAAAACCAATTAGGAACTGCTATTTATAACAACATTTTGTTTGAGTTCTGAAATTTTCATCACCAGAACTTTAGAAACACTTTAGAATCATAGAATCAAAGAGTTGGAAGGGACCTCATGGGCCATCCAGTCCAACCCCCTGCCAAGAAGCAGGAAACAAAGCACCAGTGCCCCCTAGTTTTGTAAGTACTTTAGAACCATTTAGAACCATGGATTGCCCATGCCTAGTGGACAACAAAGGCCAAAGAAAAGATGGATGGACACCATTAACAAGGACATGCGTGCTGCCAATCTGAGACCTGAGTATGCCCAAAACAAAGCCCTGTGGAAATGACAGTCACGATGCTCATCCCTCCATTGGGAAAATAGCTTAGAAAGGAAAAGAAGAAGAAGCAGGACCTGCAGCCAGAGCATCTCCAGCAACAGTGTCTTCCCTTCTCCCACTACTCTCTCGGCAAAGATCCCATTGCCAAATGACTCTTATTCTCAAGACATTTCTTGTAACGTCTACTCAAGGTCTTCCTTCTCTCTCAATCTCCACCCCTCCCTCAGTCCCACCTTCTGTCCTTCTCTCCAGATGGTGTCCCATGCACACCATGACCTGGAAGGTCCCATTCCAAAGAGATCTGGGTGCACCCAGCTGGTCCAGTGGAAGGCCCCTTCTGGCCATGGCCCAAACCCAATGTTTCCACCTGCTGCGTAGGGCTAGCCTTCAATGCCCTTCCTTTATACCTTTCTGCTCATTGGCTCCTCTCACCTTCTGGGTACTTGTAATCATCGGTGACATCATGGCGAGCAAAGCTTCCCACAGCCTTGGTGCTTATGAACTTGCCCACGGTCCTGGTGTCCGAGGCAGCCTTCTTCACCGACTGGTTGGCTTTGTCCAAGGTCCAGGAAATTTGGTCAGCATTGACCTCGGCAAAGATGAAGGGGCCATCGTAGCCCAGGTCAACATCTCCCTCCTTGATGGCCACCTGGGAAGCCGGGCCGCACTGGTAGATGCCTGCAATAAAGCGGGGGGGGGGGCAGGGGAGAAGTGGGGAGAGGAAGAGATGAGGAGGTACACAAGATCAGGGCCAAAGCTCCAGTGTTCTATGATGAAGTAAAACCCAACCCCTCACCACCACCTCCCCAGTCAATGCCCTGTGTGAGCTCTTATACCATAGCTTAGTTCTTGTGGAGTCGCATCCAAAATCTGCCAGCCGTTGTACTTGGCGCCCAGGTCAGACCGAGTGAACCAGGCCTCATTCCACACGTGGAAGTTCCTGCGAGGAAAAGGAAGTTCAGGAAGGAGCCTCTCTGGAGCAGGCAGGTCCACCCCCACCCCCAAGAAAGGCCAGGCGTGAGCCCAAGAGGGAAGGCAGGGAGCAGTGGAGGTGGCAGTGGACTGGCCAGAAGTGGGAGGCCACACAGACACATTTGTGTTAAATTACAATGCATGGTTTCAATGGAATTGTATGGAAGGAGTATGGTTGAGACCTAGAGAGGCTAGAGATGCTATCCTAAGAAACGAGGCCTGGAAAACTACAAAAAGGAGGTGAACTGATGGACTGTCATTAAAAGTTGCTGAACTGCCGACACTGATGATCGGAGACAAATGATTAACTGTTGAACTCTTGGTGGAAAACAACATGTTTACATTACCAGAGAAAATGACTCCTTAAAGTTAAGAAGCGTTTACAATGATTCCTTAGGTTAAGAAGGAAAACCTATATCAGTTAGGAAGAAAAGTCAACATCTGCCCAGAACTGATGGGAGTCAGCGGGTTTTAACTGGACAACACCTCTCACTCATTTACAACAACTAGAACAACATCAGCAAGAAATTACTAGGCATGGGCAATCCATGGTTCTAAATGGTTCTAAAGTACTTACAAAACGAGGGGTTGCTGGTGCTTTGCTTCTAAAGTGTTTCTAAAGTTCTGGTGGTGAAAATTTCAGAACTCAAACAAAACTTTCAAAATGTTGTTATAAATAGTAGTTCCTAATTGGTTCTGTCATAAAAATCACCAATAACGAAGTGATGATGAAATTTTGGAAGTTTTCTTAGATTTCTCAAATTTTCACCACGAGAACTTTCGCAACACTTTAGAAGCAAAGCACCAGATTTAGAAACACTTTGGAAGCAAAGCACCAGCACCCCCTAGTTTTGTACTTTAGAACCATTTAGAACTATGGATTGCCCATGCCTAGAAATTACTATATAAGAGACCTTATTACAATCCAAAATTGTGGCAGACCAGAGGAGTCTGGTCCACCTGCCAACTTCTCCAATAGAAGGAGAGAGGTGGTGTATTCGCAGAATGGCAGATTTTCTGGGAAAGCAATCTGGCCTACTTCAGGATCTCTTTTCCAGGAGAAGGAAGAAGAGGAATTGATGTTTATATGTGTGTGAATGTTGAGTAGTATCCCCTTTGTTTGGGTACGCAAATGTATAGAGCAGCGTTTCTCATCCTAGGGGTCAGGACATTGGGGTGGGCACAAGGGGGTTTCAAAGGGGTCACCAAAGACCATCAGAAAACATATATGGGAGAGCATGCAAGGGAGAGCATGCAAGGCTGGAGGGAGCCTCGTGCCAGCGAGTCCCTTCAAGGTATGGAGGTTCTGGATGGGAAGTCCAGCCCAATTCTATCATTGGTGAGGTTCAGAATGCTCTTTGATTGTAAGTAAACTATAAATCCCAGCAAAGATAACTCCCAAATGTCAAGGTCCCTTTTCCCCAAACTCCACCAGTGTTTACATTTGGGTGTTTTAAGTATTTAGATTGTTTGAGTCCACAGTGCTCTCTGGATGTAGGTGAACTACAACTCCAAAAATCAAGGTCAATGTCCACCAAAGCCTTCTAGTATTTTCTGTTGGTCATGGGAGTTCCGTCTGCCAAGTCTGATTCAATTCCATCATTGGTGGAGTTCAGAGTGCTCTTTGATTGTAGGTGAACTATGAATCCCAACAACTACAACTCCCAAAATGACAAAACCAAACCCCACCAGTATTGAAATTTGGGCATTTTGGGTACTTGTGCCAAATTTGGTCCAGTGAATGAGAATACATCCTGCACACCCAATATTTACATTATGATTCAGAAGAGTAGCAAAACTACAGTTATGAAAATAATGTTATGGTTGGGGGTCACCACAGCAGGAGGAACTGTGTTAAGGGGTCACGGCATTAGGAAAGTTGAGAAATAACTGCTAAAGAGCCAATATGTGTCTACCTTCTTTCTCTATAATGTGCCTAATACTCTGTCTCGTTGTGAATGAAATAAAATAGCCTTTTAAATGCTGTTTAAAGTGTGAAAAGCACTTATGACGGACTCTTAGGGAGGAAAGGGGAAGAGGGGGGTCTCCTCCTACCAGACGCTGTCATTAGTCGTTTCCAGAAATTTCCCGTCTGAGCTGTAGAACATGTCCACCCTCAAGTTCTCGTTGGTGTCGTGGGCTGAGTTGAAGTTGGTGATCATGCGGGCGGGGAAACCGAGGCACCGGAGCACTGTAAGGAAGGGAGGAAGGGGCCAAAGTGGTTGGAGAGGACGGGAAGCACTGACCCCTGGCTGACCCTTCTTCCCCTTCAACCCTTGAACCATACCTGTGGTCAGCACTCCTGCGAAGACCCAGCACTGCCCATAGCGGACTGGCTGAAATCCAGAGGACTTCCATTTTTGCAGGATCTTGGCACTTCCTGTCCAGCTGCTAGGACTCTGTCCACCAGAGTAATTGCCACTCCAGTTTCCCATCAACACACCCTTGTCGTCATTGCTGTTGATCTGGGAATCAAGCAAATTTATTTATTTATTTGTCGTGTCAGAACAGCCAGTCAAATTATATTACATTTCTAACAGAACAAAGCAAACAAGCAAATTACAAGATTTGTGAGTATGGTAGCTGATTAAATGTCCTTTGACCAATATCTGGCCACTTGGAGTGCTTCTGGTGTCGCTGCAAGAAGGTCCTCCATGGTGCATGTGCCAGGGCTCAGGTTGCATTGCAGCAGGTGGTCAGTGGTTTGCTCCTCTCCACACTCGCATGTCGAGGATTCCACTTTGTGGCCCCATTTCTTGAGGTTGGCTCTGCATCTCGTGGTGCCCAAGCGCAGTCTGTTCAGCGCCTTCCAAGTCGCCCCATCTTCAGTGTGCCCAGGGGGGAGTCTCTCATTTGGTATGGGTTGAGGTTCTGGGTTTGAGCCTGCCACTTTTGGACTCTCGCTTGCTGAGGTGTTCCAGCGAGTGTCTCTGTAGATCTTAGGAAACTATTTCTAGATTTAAGTCAGTGACGTGCTGGCTGATACCCAAACAGGGAATGAGCTGGAGATGTCTCTGCCTTGGTCCTTTCACTATTGGCTGCTACTTCCCGGCGGATGTGAGGTGGTGCAATACCGGCTAAGCAGTGTAATTTCTCCAGTGGTGTAGGGCGCAGGCACCCCGTGATAATGCGGCATGTCTCATTCAGAGCCACATCCACTGTTTTAGTGTGGTGAGATGTGTTCCACACTGGGCATGCATCAAGCAAATGATGGATGGATGGAAGGAAGGAGGGAGACGGGGCTGCCGAGAGGAAGGCGCTCAGCCGTGGGAAGCCAATCCCTGCATCTGGCCCATCTGAAATGTTCCCCATGCACCAAGTTCCACCCCAAAAGATCACCTTCCGCAGCTGGATTCTCAACTCCACACATCCAGACCGCAAGCCATCCTGGGCAGGTGGAGGGAGATTGGCCCCCCAGGCCCATGAAGGCCTTGGCTCCAGCGAGTGGAAAGCGGTGGCTGAGATGGAGGTGAGCCTTACCATCAGAGGCAGTCCTAGGTAATTTTCAACAGTAAACAAACAGTATTTGCCCCCCCCCCCCCCACCAATCACTGAAATATACTTTCTATTCATCGTGGGAGTTCTGTGTGCTCTATTTGGTTCAACTCCATCATTGGTGGAGTTCAGAATGCTCTTTGTTTGTAGGTGAACTATATATCCCAGTAACTACAACTTGCATATGTCAAGGTCTATTTTCCCCCAAGAGCGCCCGTGGGCAAAATCAACTCTACTGCGAATGCTTACTTTGCGTAATGGGTTGAGCCGCCCCTGCTTACCATGGCGCTGAGCACCCGTCCGACGTACTTGGGGTCATTGCGGTGACGCAGGTCAGTGGCCGGGTCATTGCGGTATTCTAAGCTATGGTCCAGGATGGACAGGCAGATGTCCAGAATGCCGTCCTGAAACTGCAAGAAAGGAAGGTGTCAGGTTGTTGTTGTTTATTCGTTCAGTTGCTTCCCCCTGAGCTCCATGTCGGCCGTCACCACCCCCAGCTCCATAATAATAATAATCATAGAATCAAAGAGTTGGAAGAGACCTCCTGAGCCATCATCCAGTCCAACCCCATTCTGCCAAGAAGAAGGAATATTGCATTCAAATCACCCCTGACAGATGGCCATCCAGCCTCTGTTTAAAAGCTCCAAAGAAGGAGCCTCCCGACACTCCAGGGCAGAGAGTTCCACTGCTGAACAGCTCTCACAGTCAGGAAGTTCTTCCTCATGTTCAGATGGAATCTCTCTCTTGTAGTTTGAAGCCATTGTTCCGCGTCCTAGTCTCCAGGGCAGCAGAAAAGAAGTTTGCTCCTTCCTCCCTATGACTTCCTCTCACATATTTATACATGGCTATCATGTCTCCACTCAGCCTTCTCTTCTTCAGGCTCTTTAAGCCATTTCTCATAGTGCTTGTTCTCCAGACCCTTGATCATTTTAGTCGCCCTCCTCTGGACACATTCCAGCTTGTCAATATCTCTCTTGAATTGTGGTGCCCAGAATTGGACACAATATTCCAGGTGTGGTCTAACCAAAGCGGAATAGAGCATGGGTAGCATGACTTCCCTAGATCTAGACACTATGCTCCTCTTGATGCAGGCCAAAATCCCATTGGCTTTTTTTGCCGCCACATCACATTCCTGGCTCATGTTTAACTTGTTGTCCACGAGGACTCCAAGATCTTTTTCACACCTACTGCTCTCGAGCCAGGCCTCATCGTCCCCCATTCTGTATCTTTGCATAATAATAATAATAATAATAATAATAATAATAATAATAATAATAATCCTTTATTTATACCCCGCTACCATCTCCCGAAGGACTCGGTGCAGCTTACAAGAGGCCGAGCCCAAACACATCAGTAAAAACAACAATACAGACACTAAATAAAACCATAAACAAAGCAGTAAACATTAACAATAACACCATGACGCATTAAAAAACTGTGGCAGGGCCAAATGTAGTAGTTAAAATTTTAAAAATAATACTGGGCATGACCAGGTGACATATAACTAGGGTAAGTATTTGGAGAGGGATGGAGCGAGCAGACAGTCCTAGATCACTAGGAAGGTACATTTAGGGACATATTGCTTAGGGTTTCCTTATTCTGGGAAGGCACACTGCTTCAGAGTCAAGCCAGTCACTTCAAGAGAAAACAGTTTGCAAACTGCTCTGGCTGCCAGGGGAGCGGTGAATCCACATCTCCCTTGTGTCCTGGTCTCCGGAACAGCAGCAAACAAGCTTTCCCTCTTCTCCTTGGACCTACCTGGCCGAAGTTCCATCCCATCCGGGAGATGCTGTAGTAGCTGCCCATGAAGACCGCCCCGGACTCGGAAAGGACGTACTCCTCGAGGTCTATGTTGTCTGGCATATAGACCTCATCTCCTGTGGGGGGAAAAGGGGGGGGGGAGGTAGGAGCTGCTGCTGATGCTGGAAGGGAAGAGGCACCCTCCCCCTCTGCAGCCCCCTCCCCTTCAAAGACTCAATGAGACCCTCCTTCAGATGCAGAAATGCAGTGGGGGCAAAGTGGATGACAAGGAGCCCTCCTCCCCAGTTACTGCAAACCCAGTGCTTTGGGGTCGCAGGCGAGTGTGTGCCTGCCCCTTCCTCAGCCTAGGGGGGCCATAGGGCAGAGAGACAGGGTGGGACGTATTCTATACAACAGCAGAGTGAAATAGCGTCCCTCGTGTCAAATGACAAACCACTGAAATGAGTGCCAGGGAGAGCCTGGGAATCTATGACATGGCTACACAACAGGATGGTACCTGATGCATGGCAAGATCCAAGTTTGCTTTTGGTATGGATCCTTTAATCAATGGCTATTGCCCTATTTTATGGATTCTATTGCTCTTGCTAATTTTATATCTCTGGTTTCAAATGTGTTTTAATGCTGATATATTGTATTTTATATGTTGTACAATACCATTTGTAAGCCGCCCTGAGTCCCTACAGGAGATGGTGGTCGGGTATAAATCAAGTATTATTATTATCGTTATCATTTTTTCACAACCATGGACAGCGAGTGGAGAGGGGGGGGCTGGTCTCTGAGAGGTCCCCTCTCTCTCTCTTGTGGGGTTCCTCCTCAGGGGGCCATTCTCTCCCCTCTGTTTAACATCTATATCAGTGGTTCTCAACCTGGGGTCCCCAGATGTTTTTGGCCTTCAACTCCCAGAAATCCTAACTGCTGGTAAACTGGCTGGGATTTCTGGGAGTTGTAGGCCAAAACACCTGGGGACCCACAGGTTGAGAACCACTGATCTATATGCACCCACTTGCTCAGCTGGTTCGAGGTTTTGGGCTTGAGTGTTATCAGTATGTCGATGACACTCAGCTAGTGCTGAAGATGGAAGGCCGACCAGACTCTGTACCCAATTATTTCCATCAGTGCCTCGAGGCCGTGACTGGATAGCTGCGTGCCAGCAGGTTGAGGATGAACCCGGCAAAGATGGAGATCCTATGGTTGGGTCAACCGAGCAGTGGGGATGTCCAGCTGTCTACCCTGGATGGCAAGGAGGCGCTACGCCCGTCATCCTTGGTCAAGAGCCTGAGAGTCCTTTTGGACCCTCTTTCTGCTGAGGATGGAGGCCCACTGCTCCGCCGTGAGCAGAACCGCTTTCTTTCACCTGCGGCAGGCTAGACGGCTGGCCCCCTCCCTGTCCAGGGACGACCTAGCTATGGTGATCCAGGCCACGGTCATCTCAAGACTGGACTACTGTAACGCCCTCTACATTGGCCTCCTTCTGTCAGTGATCCGGAAGCTCAAGTTGGTACAAAACGCAGCTGCTCGGCTTCTTGCGGGAATTCCGATGAGATGCCACATCACCCCAATCTGACTGCAGCTGCATTGGTTACCCATTGAGCACCGGATCACTTTCAAAGGGATGGTCCTCACCTTTAAGGCCTTGCATGGTCTGGGGCCGATGTAACTGAGGGACCGCCTCACCCCCTCCCAACCCCAAAGATCCCTCCGTTCTGAGGACCAAGATCTATTGGAAGTCCCCAGTGTCAAGACCTTGCGTCTAACAGCAACCAGGCGCAGAGCCTTCACAGCAGTGGCACCATTACTCTGGGATACTCTGCCATCTGAAGTCCGTGCCTTGCGGGACTTATCAGCTTTCCACAGGGCATGTCAGACATTCCTGTTTCGACAGGCTTTTAATGTTTGATATTGCTGTTTTTAAATTGCTTTTTAAATTGTGTTAGATTTTAGCCATTCTTGTAAGTTGCTCCGAGCCCCAGGGGAGTGGCAGCATATAAGTTCGAATAATAAATAAATAAATAAATAAATAAATAATTCCTATTTAACTGCTTAGCGAGGGAGTTCCACAGCCGGGGGCCACCACGGAGAAGGTCCTGTCTCTCGACTCCACCAAATGCGACTGCAATGGTGGTGGGACCAAGAGCAGGACCTCCCCAGATGATCTTAAGATCCTTGATGGTTCATAGGGGGAGACACGTTCAGACAGGTAAGCAGGGCCAGAACTATTTAGGGCTTTATAGGTCAAAACCAGCACTTTGAATTGTGCTGGTGTAACAGGGGAGTTGTGTACCGACCCCGTGAGCAACGTGGCTGCCGAATGTTGGACAAGAGGCAACCCCATGTACAGTGCATTGCAGTAGTCTATTTGGTATGTAACCAGAGTGTGGACCACTGTGGTTAAGTCAGTAATTATTTCTTACCTGCCTCTCCTTGTGGCTTGAGGCAGGTTACAGAATAATGAAAACAGATAAACAAGAATGCACCTTCCTCTCTTTGGGCCACTAGACCAGGAGGCGGTCTGTACCTTGGAGCCAGGGGTTGAAGAGGAGCACGAAGGTGCCCAGGTATGCAGAGGAGGCGTGGCTGCCCCCGGAGCTGGTCTGCATGCACAGCCGGTAGCGCCCGATAGCCGCGTTCGATGGACTGGTGATGAAGAAGGTCATGGTGCCGGGAGTAGGGAAGGTCTGGGCCGCAGCCCAGGAGTTACCGCCCAGGGTCCTCGAGACTCTGAAGGCCACCCTTGTCCTGCTCTGAAGAGCATCCGTCAACCCTGCGGGCAGAGAGAAGGGGGTTTCCAGCATGGATACTTGGGGATGGGGGTGTCGCACACCAGGGCTAGAAAGGCACCTTTAAACCAATCTCAACACTCCAGAACTCAGTCATAAGCAAAGCAGTTTGTTGAAGAGTAAATGTAAAGCTTCAGCAAAAAATGGTAAAAGATCAAAGAGTCAATGTGAAGTAGGCCTGGGTAACAACGGAAAAATTTGTTTCTAAAATCGATTTGTATTTGGGGTTTTTTTGTTTCGATATTTAAAATAATTACAAAATTTTCCTTTTAAAAAGTTCGATATTTACGAAATTTCGTAAATGGTAAAAAATTAACGAATCGATTTCCGAAACAATAACGAATCGATTCGTTAATGGCGGGCGCGACCACGAAATACACTAAAAAACCTCCAAAACCTTCTGAAGCTTCCCTCTCCCTCTGTTGTTGACTGTTGGTGTGATATTATAATTTTTTTTTCACTAATTAAACCATAAAACTGGCCCAGACATGCGGAAATAATAACGAAACGACCTCAAAACAATAACGAAACGAATACAATATCGAAATACGAAGCATTTACAAAACGTTTTTGAAAATTCGTTTTTTTATAATTGCTCCAGAATGGTTCGTTATCGTTTCGTAATTGAAAAAATTAACGAATTATTAATGAATTACGAATTAACGAAACGAAACCGCCCAGCCCTAATGAAGTATAGTCCTTAAGAAACAAAGCACTTGAAGGAACTTGAAAGCAATGATCCATAAGTCCAAGAATACATACAAAATCTTCAAACGAGTCTTAATCAAAACACAGCAACCCAGGAGATCAAGAGAACTCAGCAACTAAGACATAATTCCAAAAGTACAGGAGACCAGGAAACTATTTTGATGCTTGAAGCATGAGTCCATGAATAAAAACACATAGGAAACTTGAGGCTCAAATCCATGAGTACCAAACACAAAGAGGACACTTGAGAGAGGACACTTGAAGCATGAAACATGAAAACCAAACGTTGCCTCCTCTGAGATACAACAGAATCAGACCTCCTTTAAACCTCAGAAACTGTGGCGTTTTCCCCGAGAACTTTCTGCAGGGCCTCTTCTCATCAACGGGCACTGGGAGCAGCGCCTCCCTTCACTTCCTTGCCTTTGTTGACAAATTGCCCTCCTTCCATCTATCTCCGGAGAAACAGGGGAAGAACCAGAGGGAGACACATCTGCAATTACCACATTCTGATCAGATAATGACCTTGGTTCTCTTGGGAAGCCTGGCTCAGGCCAAGAAAACTCTGACTGCAAATCCATTGCTGACCTGTAATTCCCAAATCCCCAGCCACACCAGATACAGAACCAGACTCCTGTGAGACCTTGGGTGCCAGCACAATCTCAGACTGAACCACAACAGGGGGTGGGGGGCTCCTGACCCTTTTAATGACTGGCTGTGTAGAAGGAGGCATGCCGGTCACTGAAGGAACAAGATCCCCCCACTTTCTTTATCATTTTCATTGCATGGGGACTTCTGGTCTTGGCTCCCCAGAGGACCACCGGGAAGTTCACCAAAGAAGGAGAAGTGAGGAAAGGATCAGGAGGAGAAGAAGTGTATGTGGGGGGAGGGACTTACCGGTGTCCACTGTGAAGGTCAGGGTGCCTGCCTCTTGAGGGGCTCCATCGAAGGCCAGGGAGATGGCAAAGGGCTGCCCCCGACGCACCACCAGCTCGTTCCCGCTGTAATGGTCAGTGTGGTGGGCAATGCCATTCTCTGCCAGCTTCCAATCAATCTTGGCTGAGAGAGAGAGCAAGAAGGAAACATCTCAAAGGCCACCCTGTCCAACCCCCTTCTGCCGGGAGGAAGGGACAACCCAAGTCTTCCTGAGAGATGGCCATCCTGCCCCTGTTTGAAGGCCTTCAAAGAAGGAGACTCTTGACATGTAGGCAGAAGCGTAGTCCTGGGTTGAACTGTTCTGAAAGGACCTGGGCCATGTGGGACAATGCTTCCACCACTCCTTCTCCCTGAGACCTCATTATTTCAAATCCACTAAAATTTCAGCTTCGGGGCCCGGTGTGTCTAGCATCTCAAAAGGGCTGAATGACACCCTCACAATCCAGCCCATTATCTGTGGGTTATTTGTGGTCTCCAGGACTGCTTCTTGGATTGGGAAGCTGGTTCTGGAGGAGTGAGTGAATGAGTGAGTGTGTACAGAGTGTCCTGCTTTCTCCTTTTCCTCACTTGGACACTCACTGGATGCAGAGAAGGGAGGGAGGAGATGGTGAGCCCAGGAGGGCTGTTCCTGCCTCAAGGGGTTCCCCAGGAGCTTCCATCTCCTCTCTGCTCAGAGCTCAGATCCAAGGCTCCTCCTCAGATGATCTCTCCTGGGGGCCCCACGTCACTGATACCCCAAAGGAGGGCAAAGGGGGCTCTAATGCAGGATGCTTGCCATAGATGCAGGCGAAACATCAGGAGAGAATGCCTCAGTCTAGACCATGGCCATATAGCCCGAAAAAAACCTACAACAACCCAGTGATTCCGGCCATGAAAGCCTTCAACAATACATTGAACATTACATTTTTATTTACAGTATATTCTGGCGTATAAGACTACTTTTTAACCCAAGAAAATATTCTCAAAAGTCAGGGGTCGTCTTATATGCGGGTGTAGTCTTATGCATGGGAGTCATCTTAACTCTATATTTTAACTGGAAAAGTTGGGGGTCGTCTTATACGCCCAGTCGTCTTATATGCCAGAATATACGGTATATAGATTATTATTATTATTATTATTATTATTATTATTATTATTATTATTCAAAACACAAGTTTAGCTCACAGGAAGCAAGATCAGTCTGCTGACTGTTGTATTGGATCACACGTCGGACACTTCCCAAGTGCCTAGGACTGTGTGATGTATGGGCAAATAATGTGTGCAAAACTGAGTAGGGTGACCTTTTACAGCTGACAGGTGGTAATTATGTGACCACCGATTGTTTTTAAGTGCAGGCCAAGGTCTTGAGGCACTGCACCCAGTGTGCCGATCACCACTGGGATCCCCTTTGACTGACTTGTGCCAGAGTCTTTGCAGTTCGATCTTTAAATCCTTGTGTTGTGTCAGCTTTTCCAGTGGTTTCTCTTCCATTATTATTATTATTATTATTATTATTATTATTATTATTGTTACTACTACTACTACTACTACTGGAGGAAGATCTCTATGAGCCTGGGAGTGCAGTGGGGTCACTGTATCAAGGAGGGCGATTGTGAAGGGCCAGTTGGGTGGAATCTGGCTTCATTGGGCTGATGTGCACCCCCCCCCCCCCAAACACCATTGCTGGCCTATTGATGTGCAGTTGCTGGTGGTCTGGGGGCTGCTGCCTTCTCCACTGAAACTGGACCCTACTAGACATCTCCCCCTCACCTGCCTGACCACAGCCATGGGGGACGGGAGGAGAACGCTCTGACCTTCCTGCTGCATGAGATGGGATCTTGCCCTTAAGGCTATTGGAAGCCTGGCAGGTGGCAAAATGGAGCTGTGAAGCCACCATCCGGCACCAGGAACCCAACACTAGGATCTCTGCCCACTGGCCAGTCCTTTCTTGACCAAGTCTGAGGGGCTGGGGCTGGCTTTGCAAGCTCTGGGCGGGATCTGGTTTGGCCATGGCAGAGCTGGGCAACTGACCCGCAGACCCCCACTTTGTGGAAAGGGGGCTCCTTTTCTCCAACTGGTCTACACACAGGAAAGGGACTGCGACTGACACCTGGCTTTCACCTAGTTCCATCCCTTTGTTTTAGTCTAGTATGGGTTTCACACCTGTCAACCCATGGCTTTGCTTCAGGGTGTTGCACCCCAAGAATGTGTGGGTTTTGGCCACAAAGAGGGTCATTGTCAAAATAAGCCAAATGGTCCTGCAAACTGGATGCAGGCAGGCAGGTACTCACCGGTCATGATGCTGCTCCACCAAGAGTCCTCCAATCCTATGCAGAGAGTGAATCTGTTGTGGCGGCTGCTGCTGCGATGGGCGAAGGTGCTCCTCAGGGCTACGAAGGACTCATTTATGGGGCCCCAAAGGGGTGGAGGTTCCAGCCCCTCCCTCCCACTCCCAGCCCAAAGCCAGCCCCCAAGGCTCTCATTGGGGATGATGGGGCTCGTGGTGTGTCCTGCCCTCCCTCCTGAGAGGCTCTGCACTGGCCAAAGGGAGGGGGTCATTGCACAAGACCACATATCGATGGTGGTCTTGTGCAATGACCACCATCGGAGCCTAGTGTCTAGATCCAGGGAAGTCATGCTCCCCATGCTCTATTCCGCTTTGGTTAGACCACTTTACCTGGAATATTGTGTCCAATTCTGGGCACCACCATTCAAGAGAGATGTTGACAAGCTGGAATGTGTCCAGAGGAGGGTGACTCAAATGATAAAAGGTCTGGAGAACAAGCCCTATGAGGAGCGGCTTAAGGAGCTGGGCATGTTTAGCCTGAAGAAGAGAAGGCTGAGAGGAGATATGATGAGAGCCATGTTTAAATATGTGAGAGGAAGTCATAGGGAGGAGGAGGGAGCAAGCTTCCTTTCTGCTTCCCTGGTGACTAGGACGCAAGGGAACAATGGCTTCAAACTACAAGAGAGGAGATTCCATCTGAACATGAGGAAGAACTTCCTGACTGTGAGAGCCGTTCAGCAGTGGAACTCTCTGGCCCGGAGTGTGGTGGAGGCTCCTTTGAAAGCTTTGAAACAGATGGCCATCTGTTAGGGGTGATTTGAATGCAATATTCCTGCTTCTTGGCAGAATGGGGTTGGACTGGATGGGCCATGAGGTCTCTTCCAACTCTAGGATTCTATGATTCTATGATTCTTTGGTCTCTGGCCCCGGAGAGACTTCCTATGATGTGTGAAGGAGAATGCTTCTAGGACATGGCCACTCAACCCAAAAAACCTGCAACAACCCAATGTGTAAAGGCATTCTGGCAAATGCTGGAAATGGGAGAAGAAATGCCAGGATGTTGTATCTTATGTGGTGCTAATGGTGAGCCAGCCAGGGGCCCCTGTCGTGAAACCGATCTGACTTGCAGCAGGGAGTTCCACAGTTCAGCTTTGCCCGCTTGGGCCAGTTTCCATGGAATGTGGCCACAGCAGGAGCTTCAACCGCAAGACTTTCCTTCTGATTTACTTTCTTTCCCCTTCCTAACATTGTAACAAGTCCTCCCAATAAAGTATCAAATTAATTGTAACTTTTCCCTCTCCATAGTGTTATTTTCTGTCCTTTACTGCCTCCCAATCATTCTTTGCATGACTTTTCTCTCTCCTGAGCTGCAGATGGCTGCCGGCCCGCCCGGGATGCGATTCCAGCATCCCGGGAGGGCCGAAACTGCGTTCCACTGAACCGTGGATACTGAAACCCATCGGGTCCGCGTATCCACGGGTCAATGGATTGCCCCAAAATCTGTGCCATTCTTCTCCTAGACTAATTTCAAGACTAATGGCTATCTCGCTTTTGCTCCACTAACCTCTCCACCCCGGGAATAACCCTTTTTGCCCCCCAAACCCAACATGGAGCCCAGCTGGCTCCCTGCTGCCACAACATCACTGCCGCCATCTTGTTAATGCTTGGAGAACCTGTTGACCTGGGGAACCTGCTGCGTCCACTTCTTGGGACCTCCAGGAAGCCGACAGGCCATCCTGGTCCTTGACGGGATGGGATCTATAGTTTTCTCCATTTTCCAATGTGGACCTCGACCTCCAGCGCTGGCAACCACTTCCCAAAGACTCAATGGACTCTGGGGCATCTGTCCCAACCTTCCCCCATGGATTCCACAACTTTTTCAGAACTTTAATAAACTTTTAACAACTTTTACGACTGGACTCAGGTACATAAGATGCTGGGAGGGATTGTTAAGGCTAAAATAACCACTTGTTGAGGATGCTGGATGATCACTCAGAGCAGTGGTTGTCAACCTTGTGAATGCCATGACCCCTTGATAAGTTCCTCATGTGGTGGTGACCCCCAACCATAACATTATTTTCATTGCTACTTCATAGCTGCAATTTTGCTCCTGTTATGAATTGTCATGTAAATATCTGATATGCAGGATGTATTGTCATTCACTGGACCAAATTTGACACAAATACCAGATATGCCGGAATCTGAATAATGGTGGGGTTGGCATTGATTTTGTCATTTGGGAGTTGTAGTTGCTGGGATTTATAGTTCACCTACAATCAAAGAGTATTCTGAACTCTACCAACAACAGAATTGAACCAAATGTGGCACACAGAACTCCCGTGACTGACAGAAAATACTGAAAGTGTTTGGTGGGCACTGACCTTGAGTTTTGGAGTTGTAGTTCGCCTACATCCAGAGAGCACTATGAATTCAAACAATGATGCATCTGAACTAAACCTGGCATGAATACGCAATAAGCCCAGATGTGAACACTGGTGGAGTTTGGGGAAACTAGACCTTGACATTTGGGAGTTGTAGTTGCTGGGTTTTATAGTTCAACCACAATCAAAGAGCCCCTTGAAGCCCACCAAGGATAGAATTGGGCCACACTCCCCACACAGGGCCCCCATGACCAACAGAAAATCCTGGAAGGATTTGGGAGGAATTGACAGTGATTTAGGGGAGAACCAACAGAAGAAGACTGGCTTATGAAGATATTCTTGACCAATGTAAATGCCACCCCCAATCCCATCATAGACGTACAAATCACAAAACAAAGCACCCTTCCTTCCACAATCTAATCTAAGCTATTGCACAACCCTCTAATGCCACATAGAATCATAGAATCAAAGAGTTGGAAGAGGGACTTCTTTGATCATCTCATGAAGATCTTACAGATCGCACAGGTTCATTGGGGAAGATGCGGTTGCGAAGACAGGCAGGTCCCCAATGGTTTAGGGCTTTGTAGGTAATAACCCGCACCTTGAATTGGGACCAGAAACTCATTGGCAGCCAGTGGAGCAGTTTGAACAGGAGGGTTGACCGCTTCCAGCTAACAATCTGGCTGCCAACCTTTGTACGAACTGTAGTTTCTGGAACATCTTCAAAGGCAGCCCCATGTACAGTGCATTACAGTAGTCCAAACTTGAGGTAACTAAGGCATGGATCACCATGGTCAAGTCAGACTTCACGAGGTATGGTTGCACAAGCAATAGTGCAAAGAATTGTCGAAGGCTTTCATGGCTGGAATCACTAGGTTCTTGTGGGTTTTTTCGGGCTATAGAGCCATGTTCTAGAGGCATTTCTCCTGACGTTTCGCCTGCATCTATGGCAAGCATCCTCAGAGGTTGAGAAGGTCTCAAAGAGTTGGAAGAGGGACTTCTCAACTTCTCAACCTTCTCAACCTCCTCAACCTTCTCAGACCTTCTCAACCTCTGAGGATGCTTGCCATAGATGCAGGCGAAACGTCAGGAGAAATGCCTCTAGAACATGGCTCTATAGCCCGAAAAAACCCACAAGAAAATAGTGCAAAGGCCAACACCTGAGCATCAAGTGTCAGCACTGAGTCCAGGAGGATCCCCAGACTGTGGACCTGTGTCCTCAATGGGAGTGTAACCCCACCACGCACATGTTGCCACCTTAGACTGACCTGGAGGACCTGTCTTGTCAGGATTAAGCTTCAGCTCGCTGGCCCTCATTGAGCCCATCACAGTGGCCAGACATTGGTCCAGGATCCGGGGTCTTCCTTGGAATTAGGTGGAAAATGTTAGTAGTGTGTCACCTGCATGGAATCATAGAATCATAGAATCCTAGAGTTGGAAGAGACCTCCTGGGCCATCATCCAGTCCAACCCCATTCTGCCAAGAAGCAGGAATATTGCATTCAAATCACCCCTGACAGATGGCCATCCAGCCTCTGTTTAAAAGCTTCCAAAGAAGGAGCCTCCACCACACTCCGGGGCAGAGAGTTCCACTGCTGAACGGCTCTCACAGTCAGGAAGTTCTTCCTCATGCTCAGATGGAATCTCCTTTCTTGTAGTTTGAAGCCATTGTTCCGCGTCCTAGTCTCCAGGGAAGCAGAAAACAAGCTTGCTCCCTAATCCTCACACCTCTGAGGATGCTTGCCATAGATGCAGGCGAAACGTCAGGAGAAATGCCTCTAGAACATGGCTCTATAGCCCGAAAAAACCCACAAGAACCTAGTAAGATATGCTTATTGTGTGGGGCTGTAGTTAGTAGGATGATTGTTTTACACTGTTAGTTGTTGTGGTTTAGTTTTATATGTTTAAAAAACCCCAGTTTTAAAATCATTTTGTTTTCTGCATTTTTTCCCCTGCATGTCTTGGTTGCAAAGGCAGGGCTGTGGCGTCCAGCAGGATAGGCCCAACTGGTCAGAGAGTTGGGAAAGGGAGGCTGAAGCAAGCAGGCTGTTTGGCAACCTGACCGCTGGCTCGCCTGCTCGCTTGCTGGCCTATCCTTTCCATTGAGCTGATGGCCGGACAACCGTCCTGCCCAATGCACAAGGTGGTTGCATGGGATGCTGGTTCTGGCCACAGATTGATTAGTGGGCACACGTGTGTGTACCTTTGTGTGTTAACCGCTCTGAGGAAATCTTCAACCACCAACGATTTCGGGTTTAGATGCAACGCAGCTCACAGAAGGACCACATGAGTTCTAAGAAGTGGCCATGGAGCTGACGTGCGGCTCGTGAGCTGTTTAGATAGA